TTGACTGCCTGTCATACATTTGAGTACGCTCGTCTATATGACGCGTATGTTTTCTTCCCCACCACAGACTTTGTTCTGATTTATGAGGCAGAACTTCCCAAACAACAGCACATGTTTCGTGACAAAGACCAGTGCCTTGTTAAATTACTCGGGCAAACAGATGTTTTGGGAAAAGGTTTACTCGACTGCATTTGTGCACCCAGCAAGGACAAGGATTTATATTTCTACACATTTGATAGCCAGGGGAATCACCAAGTGCACACATGCAAAGATATCACTCATTCCTCTGCCATGAATGAGAAAAGCCAAAGAAATGAGCTTCTGATGTCCACGGCAGGTCAGCCAGGTGAAAGTGGCAATCCTGTTTTCAGTTTGAGATCCAAAAGATGTGTGGGCATATACACAGGTATCACAAAGTCAAAGAAAGGATGTGCCTCAAAAATAGATTCCACACAGCTGATAGAAAAAACAACATCAGGAAGAACAGATCTGTACTGTTTGAACATGCTCTACAGCATCTTGTCCATTCTTAAGACTGGATTTTTCTGTTGTCCGGCCCCGAACATTCAAACCTCTGACGATGATTCAGACTGAACTGGCGGTGTATCTGGTCTCAAATGTTAAAGGGAATCCACATCAAACCCTCTCTTTAGGCTCATTTAAAAATGTGCAAAACCTGTGCCAGACCCATCACCGGTGATCCCTGTGAGATGTGTGCTGGTTAGAAATGTGTCTGAATGCGGTCCGACTTGTTCTGATGTCAAGCTGACGCAAGCCAAAGAGCTCTCTCTAAAGGACGTGGCCATGTTGCTGCAGGTGCTCCTCCCCGACAGCACTGACCAAAGGCACGATGGGAAATGTCTTGCTGACGACACAGCTTAAAACCATTTTTTATTCTCTTCTAAAATGTTTAGTATTGTTTAACTGATATGTATGAAATTCTGTGTAAATATTCCCAAACATTCTGACATTCTCTGTTTTGGATCGATGATTGTTGTCAAAAAAAAAAAAAAAAAAATGGATGGAAAACACAAGACATGTATGTGGAACTGATTTTTGTTTTAAAGGTGTTTTGGACAAACATAATTACTTTTGGTACATAGGTACCAAATAGCCTTTTAAAGAATAAAATAAGCAAACAGTTTGATGTTATACTTAAATACTTACAGTGTGGAGTTCACATTAACACATTACTGCAAAATTGACACTACAGAAAAGACAATGAAATATCCATGAAATATGTCTTTAATTTTCAATGTAAACATACATTTTCAAATACAAGTCTTTTAATAATATATGTTTTACAATAGGCCTATATATGTATTATTGTAATATCACCGACTGGTAATAGTTTTAAAGAAAAATATAATCAGTAAAAAATATTTTAAATATTTTTATTCATGTACACAATAACACATGTACATATGTAACAAATTACTACATCATTTGTGTAATTTAATAATCAAAGACACATGATGTAAAAACTTTACTCAGCATTAACTCTTGGTTTATCATTCAATACTTTAACTTGAGTTTATGGAGTAACTTCAGTTAATATGCCGTTACTAGATACAGCAAATGTACACTAATTATAACATTTCCAATTTATAACTTCTACTGAAATTTCACATGAAACAACCAACATTTCACATACGTCAAAAACAGAAACATAGCTCTTGTTGTGTTTTACGTGTAAAGTGTTCAGGTGTGGGTGAAGCCCATGAGCCCAAATTCTCTCCATATTCTATCTGCGTCATCACCAGAAATGTTTTATTGCGAATTCATGTGAAGAAAAGAACTGTAAAGAAGGTTAGAAAAGTTTATACACCAGGGTTTCTTCCTTTATTTTTACGCTTCAGTGTTCTGGTCTGAGCTCATGAGCCAGAGAATCCAGCATGTTCTCGAATGTTCTCCGTATTCTATCTGCGTCATCACCAAACTGCTTTTTGCAATGTTATGAAAAAGCTCAAATTGTAAAGAAGCTTGGAAAAGTTTATACAATGTTGTGCAGTTAAAATTACTTTAAAACTGATACCGGAGAAAAGAGTAAATGTTTACATTTTTTTAACGATAAATGATATCTTCACATTACATTTTTCAATCTAAAGACCAATCTTTTTTTGATTAATTGTCTACTGTATTTTTACCAATAAAAAATACTGGTGTAATATGAAAGATTTGTAATAGTTTTGAAGAAAAATACTGAGTCAGAAATAAATATTCCACACTTTTTAAGAATTTATATTCTTTTGTTGAAAATGTACACTTCCGCATGGCAAATTACTACATACATCATTCACTCTATATCAGTTTGTCATTCTTTATCTCACAAGACCAACTAAACAAATCTCACATAATGGTAATTATTTGATAAGAAGTCAACTGTAATTTAAAGATTAAATGGATGCAGTGATGTTAAAACATCAGCAAAAGAACCAGTATTAGCTCATTTGATCATTCAAGACTTTAGTTTACGGAGTCAGCTAACCTTAGTTAGTATGCAGTCACTGGATGTCCATCAAACACCAGACTTTCCTTTCAAAAGTTATTTGTTAAACGCGTATGTAGGTTGCTCTCTTTGAGAATAGTCCAAATGAAGTCCAGTGGAATCTCTTCAAGGCTACTACAGCATGCAGTTGATTTTCTACTTAGCAAGCCTAGAGCAGTGTAAGCCGGTGCACCCTCTGTGTGTTTGTTTGACCGCCTTGTTTTTCTGCGTCAAAGGAATGGGGCATGACTAAAAAACACATTCTGAGTGTTACTACACTGTCTAAGTTCCTCAAAGGAACTAGGAACTAGCACTAGGCAAAGGAACACTCACCGCTCCTTTATACTTCCCCTATCTCTCACACACCTCCTCACACACGTGACATCTCCTGCTCTCACTGGTGGGGAAGGGGTGGCATGACGTGCTCAGGCTAACGTTGAGCTAGTGTCAGTGCAGTGAAGGGAAAACTCTGCCTGCTGCTCTCTCTCGTGGTTGAAGTGTTTTATGCAGTCAAGGCAATGCTCTTGGTTTCGGGACTTCATTGCGCATGTTACCTACATCCATTTAAATCGGAATATGTTAAAAGCTAAAAAACTGGGCAAACAAATGTTTGCATGGAGTTGCTACTTACATCAGTGTTATTGTAGTGTCCCTGATATAGGCTAGTATTATAGTTTTATTTTTATTTAATTTTTTTGTTAAAGTTGTATAAATAGTTAATTATTTTTATTTTAGATTTAGTTTTTGTTTACTACATCTGTGACAGCTTGGGTTCCGATAGCCACCTGGAGAGCATTCTTTATGGAACGGACTTCACGCTCCCATATTCCGCCAAATTGTGGAGCACTGGGTGGATTAAACTTGAAGCTAATTTGATAGTCTGAAAGCTGGGCTTTGAGTTCTGGCTCCATAATTGAGAAAGCTTCCCGTAATTCTCTGTCAGCTCCCTGGAAGTTGGTGCCACAATCCGAATGGATCTCATGTGGTTTACCTCTTCTGGCTATGAACCGGCGGAGCGCAAGAAGGAAGGCATCTACGTCCATTGAATTGAGGAGCTCAATGTGTACTGCCTTAGTTGTGAGACATTTGAAGATTAGCCCCCAGCGTTTCTCATTTCGCCTCCCTATTTTGACCAGGTATGGACCGAAGCAGTCAACACCAGTTGAGTGGAAAGGTGGACAGAG